GGCGAGGCACCGGCATCCTCCGACCGGTGGTTTCCGGTCGCCCGCCCGCCGCGCTGCTACTTTGTTCCGTCCTGCCGGTGGCTGTGAGGTCCCTCCTTAACCTGGTGCTCGGCTGTGCTGGCCAGCTGTGGCCCTGAGGGCTGGTTCGGCATTCCCATTCACACTCCTTAAGGTTCCGGTAGTGCACTGACACCTTTACTTTGTTCTTGAAGTCCATATTCGGGAAAAGGAGGAGCAGCCAAAGAAGTAAGTTGCACCCCGGGGACGCGGTCACAGCAGCAATCCTGACACAGCTCACGGAGCCTTTGGAAGACACTCCCAGGCCCACTGTGGGATTCTGGCCGGGTCCTGTGTAGGGCTAAGAGTTGGACTCAGTGGTGGGACCCTCAGCATATTCCGTGGTAAACTGATACTTCTGCTCCTAAAGTACCTCAGTGACGCCGACACCTTTTTCTCGCCTTTTCCCCGTGGCAGAATCATGGACCCCAGCTTGCTGAGGGAGCGGGAGCTGTTTAAAAAGCGAGCCCTCTCCACGCCGGCCGTAGAGAAACGCCCAGCACTCTCCTCGGACTCCTCCGCTTCCAAGAAGAAGAAGGCCAAGGTAGAACAAGGGGGCTCCTCCAGCTCAAAACAAAACACAGGTGGGTGGAAGTCTCCCGTCCAGCAGGTGCTTGGTGTTTCCCACTGTTTGCCTTTAAGCTGTGGTTTATTAATGTGAAGAACGCTGTATCTGTGAGTTGTGCTGGTGGCCGATGTCATTCTTTCTCTTAAATTGCCGCTTTTGTTAAGCAAGGCGCTTGCACAATGTGAAAAACACGTTCCCCGCTGTGCATATGTGCTAAGCCTCATCCAGCAGCTTGCTTGCTGTTGCTCCGTTGGAGGAACGCTACTGCCAAAATTCTTCATGTGAAACTGTGCTTTGCTTTGTGGTTTTTGGTGCTGGCTGGACAGGCAGTAGCAGCGGTGTCGTTTGTTTTCTCCCTGTTTGCCGTGTTGGATAGGGCCTGGAGCAGCATGGTCTAGTGGAAGATGTCCCCATGGCAGGGAGGTTGGAACTGGATGATATTTAGGCTCTCTTCCAGCCCAAACCATTCCATGATTCTGTGATTATTTCTGGCAGGAGAGCACCTAAAACATTTAAGTAACTGTTAAGTTGAAGGGTATTCATACATGAGATGGATTTTGCAGGGTGCATCTTGTCTGGCTTGCATGTTGTAATTAGCTGTTGTCCTTGTTTCACCTGGGAGCTAAGCTTTGCTCATGAGCACCAGGCATTCCAGAGGTTTCTGCCTCTTTTACTGAGGAGTTGTGGCGTTTCCTGGGGGCGGTGGCACTGGTAATGCCTCTCTCAGTATCGAATCAACAGTTAATAAAGAGGCACCAAAAATAGTGGGAGTGTGTGGAAAGTGTGGCACCGGGGAGAGGATTTGCTCTGAAAGCAGTGGCAGTTCTCAAGTGCACTTTAAAGGTCAGATCAAATGCCAGGAGTTACTAAACCACAAAATACCCTGTTGTGCAAACTCAGTCCATGCTCATATTTTGAATAATACCACACGTGGCTCTCTCCTAAAATCCAAAAGAAACAATGGAGCTAAAAACAACAGAGAAGAATGTCAGGGAGTTTGGAGGAGTGAAGCATCTTCTGTCCCAGGGGAAGAGTTGGGAATTTGGGTATGTGTCTGCAGCTTCTCAGGCACCAAATAAAGTATCAGCCAGACATTCTAAAATAAATCAAGGGAGGCCAGGTTTCCATCCATCCCTTTTTCACACTCTCCAAATAAAACAAAATTCTACGTAGAATATTCTAAGCTGCGTCACTGGGGTGAACGGGGTTTGCTGGGATAAAGGGACAGGGAGTCAGGGAGAGGGTAGAGGGTACAAACGTGAGTCTGATCCGGAGGATTTGAGCAGATAAAGAAGGTTTTGTTTTGTTTCTGTGTTTTTGGTGGCCTGAGGGTTTCTTCAAGTGGTTTTGTGGCTGTCAGACACTTACACAAACAGGGACCCAGCGTGCCTCTGAGGAAATAAAATTGATCTTTTATGCTGCTGGCTGCGTTCCAGGCAGTACCAGAAAGGTTACAGGGTTTCTACAATGTTTTTATGCTACGGAGTCAAAATCCATTGCCTCAAAACCCTCTTTTTATTTCACTTGCCTGATTGGCAGGTGCCTGCCTGGCTGTGTGGGTGTCAGAGGTGGGTCTGGGGAGGTGGAGTAAAACCCTGATCTTGAGGAGTCTCTGTCCCACCACCCCAAAGAAACAAAAACCGGGGGGGTCACTGCTAGTTTTGTTGTGTAGCAGCCACAGAGGTGATAAATGGAGTTTGTTTGTGTGTTGGCACTGATAGTCCCTGGCTGTGTAGTGCCCACAGGTCCTCCCTCACTCTGTGATTCTGTGACTCAGAGAACCTGCCCTTTTCACTTTTGGGGGGAGGAGAGGTATGGAGACCATGCTAATTAATCTTTAAATTAAAAAGCACAGCTGAATCTGGCCTGTCTGTGAAGTCTGGCTCTAAGCTTCCCACTGCTCTTACAGCAATTGCTATACAGATTTCACTATCATTATTTCAAATCATTATTTCAACAAGTTAGCTGAAAATATTCAAAGCTAGTTTACTCAGTTCAGAATAGGAACTGGAAAATGAACGAAATGGATCAAATCTGTTTGTTTCATTTTATTAATCAGTAGTAAATTGTGGCTGTGGTCTTAGTCCAAAGACCTTTGTCTCAGCGGTCTCCGCCAACAGTAGTCAAGAGCCGAAATCTTCAGGGGCTATTTTGTGGGAAAGAATCGTCCTGAGTCTTCTCTGGTACTGTGCAAGGGGACACCTTTGTCTTCTGTTTCTTGTGCCCACAGCCATTCCCCTTTGTAGACCTGTGAAATAAAAAAAGCTGGGATGAGTCCCAAGGTTTGTCATTCCGTGTGCTTCTCGGGAAGGCGCTGCCAGAGCAGTAGAGGCTGCGTGTTGCACACACTGCCCTCTGCTGTGCAGCCGTGATGGGCGTTTTGTGGGAATGCTGCAAGTGTCCAGGGCATTTGCTTTTAGGAAAGAGACATTAATTAATTCAGTGCATCCCAATGGCTGCTGTGGCCTCTTGAGCAGGACTTTCCAGTCTGATGCTGTCGCCTACAGCAGGTGACGTGTCATTGTTGTCACCACTGACATTTTCTTTGTCATACGTCTTGGTGGGAGTCCTAAATTGTCTTGTACTTGGAGCTTCCATCAGTTGTGCTTTTGATTTTGAGCTTGAAGCATTCTCTGCACGGGGGACTGGTCCTGGCCAAACTTGACTGTAAGAAGTGTGTCTGGGATGAGTGGTTGTGAGGATTTGTGACTGCAGGAGGGAGTTTGCTTCTCCAGGTGAATCACTGGACTAGCTGTGCTAGTTCATTGTGCCCTGGGTGTCTTGTGACTCCATCTCACCAACCAGGAGCAGCATGTGTCTATTAGCAAGTCTTCCACTGTGTCCAGATCTTCTGGAGCTTAGTCATGCTCAACCTGAGAGAGGGATTTGATATGTATATATATATATATATATGAAAAAAAAAGATCATTATAGGTACTGGCCATAGCACAAAGGGTTTTCAGACATGGATGGACTGTGAAGTCACTTATGGCTGTGGCCATTTGGGTGGGTTTTGTCTCCATGGCAGGAATGTTTTCTGGGGTTGATACAGTTAAATAACTTGTCCGGTGTGTAGCTTTGCTCAGGGACATTTCTGTGTGGGTTCAGGAGTGGGAAGGACTTGCCAGGAGTTACTGATGGCCAGGCTGCTGTTGGACACTGTTGTTACAGTTGTCATTTGTAGCTGCAAAACTTGAAGGCTTTTAAAAATCCCAGACACAACATAGCTACAGAGGACTGGTGAGCCAGAGGTGTGAGTGTTGTGTGGTCAGGACGTGAGGAAGGGGTGAGTGTGAACTCTGGGATGTATCAGCAGGCAGATGAAGCCAAGGGAGATTCTCTTGTGCACAGTGAAGCTGCCCTCTTAGCTCAGCGCTGTTCCTGTTGTGGCCTCCTGTGTGAAACTTGCTGGCACCTGAAAGCTGCATCCCCTTCTTCAGTGTGGGAGGTCTGTGGCCCATCTCCCTGCGATCTTGGCAAGAGCTCCATCAGTTCCAGTTGGCTTTGGAAGTTTGGCATAGGGATGACAGATCCAGCATGTGCAATTCCCTGTAGTGTTGTGGTTGCCACAGAAGCAGCTGCTTTGGGGTTCAGAATTGGCTCTGTTCATTTCCAGCAGGATTTTTGGAAAGGGTCAGATATTCTGAAGGTAATGGGTTACACAGGTCTTAACAGCCAGAAGTGGTTGGCCAGACTGCATATGAAGTAAGGGGAGAACAGTTCCCTGGAACTGAAGAAGTGGGGAAAGAAAGGGTCAAACTACCCTTAGGAGGACTAGAAAAGACCGCTTTAGGGATGCATTTCTGGTTGGCTTAGTTTTCCTCCCACCACCCTCTCTCCTAAAAGCAAGAAACCCATACCAAAAAGTGCTGCCAAAGGCTAAAATTTACCCAGTCATCTCCTGCCATTCAACCCTTCTCTCCCAACTTTTTTGTTACCCCTTGTCTGTCTGTCCTGTCCCTGTGTGGTTGACTTGGTGGGACAACACTGCTGTCTTTGCACTGAATATGATGAGGCTGTTGAACATTTTATAAGTGTTTTCTTCAGTTAAACAGCACAGTTTTATGCATGTTAGGCAAAATTTGTTCAGTCAGGTAGACAAAATTCTATTCTAGTCACCCAATATAAACAGCAAAAGTTCATCTAAAAGCAAAGACCTTTTTCCCTCCCATAGCACTGCAATAGATTGTCTTTCTGCCAAACACTTGGAAAGCCTTTGCAATTATTCCACCTCACATCCAGAGATAAAATTGCAACCGTGGATATTTAAGTCCAAAAGAAAAAAGCACGTGACTTGCTCATTTGTAAGGTACAAGAGGCTTCATTTGAGGTGTCAAACTGAGTTTGCTCTCCAAGTGCAGGTGCTCAGTGCTTCCTACACCACCTCCATTTCACGCTTCCTGAAGCTGTTCATCATTGCTCTGACGGGATTGGGCTCGTTCTCCAAGTCTTTGACAGTTTTGTTTTTCACGCAGCAGCAGCAGTCCAGCAGCTCATACAGGAAAGCCAGCACCACCAGAGAAACTACAGTGAAGATGAATATGATCAGGATAACAAAGCAGGCAGTGTTCCAGTTGTCATGGAAAGGGTAAATTTTTTGCACTTGGAAGCCCAGATACTGGGAAATGGATGTAGTAGTCTCATTCCAGTGAGTGCTGTTGAGGGTTGCCATTCTTGAAGAGCAGTCTGAGTAGGCTCACTGGCACAGATTTGGGAGCTGAAACACAAAAACAAAGCTGTTGAGGACTCTGTCAATCAAAGACATGCTGTGATATTTATCACAAATTGCAGCTACCTAAATACAGAAATCCATGCAAACCTGGATTGTTGCATGCTCATATTTGCTCACCAAAATATCAAACTCCAGATGTGTAAGTTTGTGATAGGACTGGAATATTTATTTTGGCAGCATCTGGTTCTTGCAGGCATCATGCTGTATAAGTTACTCAGGAATGAGAGCGCTTTGCTTCTTTATTTCAATTATATGCACAAACAGAAAGCTTACAAACTTAGATTGTCAAGGTGTTCAGTGGTTTCAGCCACCTGTCCGTCGTCAGCCTTGAGGCTGCCACTTGCATGGTGGGAAAGGCCTTATTATTTTGGAATTTTGGAATCACCTGCAAAACCTCTCTTGACTTCAGGAGAGCAGATTTCCTGACCCATTCATTCCACTGCTGAGTAGTTTCTGCTGGAGAAACTTTGCTGCCCAGATGGCACTGAGAGTGTTTGGGAATCTTGTTTGTGGTGCTGTAGTCATCAGGGGGGATGACAAGGAATACCCAACCCTTTCTGTGAGGAGGTCTGATTTCTTATTTTCAACTCTGCCTAACCCTGGCCCCAGTGCTGTCTGTTGGCACCCAGTAGAGGAGGAGGAGGCTGCTCTGTGGTGTGGGGGGAGATGAAGCAAGAAAGGCTTCAGCAAATCTGCCTTTGCTCTGTAGTCCAATGTAATAAAAATTGTCCAAGGAGCTACAGTAACTTGTGATTATCTGCTGTGGCTGTAGGACGTCATAATAACCTTTGAATCCCACAGGCAGTTGAAAATTGGGTGTGGGAGGAGGAGATTAAGTCAGGTCTCCATATTTCCTTGAGGAAATGGCAAGGTGTTTTTAGGCGGAGCATGGTGGTGGTGGTGTCTGCTAAAGCAGTCTGAGCACCTGTCTTTATTTCTGTGAAGTTATTAAATGAAAGGATATAGTGAAAACCAGGATCATGCTGCCAAACCAGCTTGTGATCTATGCCTTATTTCTGTTTTTCAAATATTACATATTTTGTCCTTTATACTTCTGCCTTCAATGGATTTAAATTGAAACCAAAGAGCTTTGTTGTTGGGAAGGTCCCTGGCATTAGGGTTCCATTGGAGCAGTTGCAGCAACTTTTCCTCTGTGAAATCTCTGAGTACACAAATTAGTAGTTGAACATACAAAGTACAACTGAGGTGGATGGGATTAATTAAATTGTTGGTGGTTTTTTTTTTTTTTTTCCTTAAACAAAAGTTTACAGAGCAAATCCAACCTAAAAATATTCCTGGCTTGAGTCAGGTCCTGGCTTCAAGAGAGTGGCTTGATTTGGTCACGGTCTGGGAAGGAAACTCAGCCAACCTGTTATGGGGCTAAAAGTCAAGAGGGTTTTGGGAGGGGTGGCTTGAAGGCTTAATTTAAAATAATCCATGAGAGAAAGAGAGAGGGAGGAGCTGAATAAAAGGATTTGGAGTCCACTTTGAGGAGTACTTAAAATAAGCAGGACTTTAATTGTGTATTTTAAATGACAAGAGAATACCTTTGGGAAAGAAAGGAGTTTTGGTTTGAACTTTGTTAACAGATTTCCAAGACTGAGGGTTTAGTTGGAATTGTTATGCCTAAGTTTGCTCGCTCTGTAGACCCCAGGCACAAAAATAGACTGTTTCTCTGATGCAAAATTTAGTCATTTTTGGTGTTTTTTGGGTTTTTTTGATTTATATTGGTCAAAGTGATCAAGATCTGGGGCCGCTGGAGGGATTGTCCAGCTCTGCACTGTGTAGCCAGGACCCTTTTCCAGCCCAGCTCTCTGCCAAGGCAGTAGCTCTGTTCCCAGGAAAAGAGGAGCATCTCGGGCACGGCATGGCCAGGCAGGAGCCGGCAGCAGAGCGCAGTGCAGCAGCCATTCCCTTCCCACTCCACAGCCAGCCCCTTCCCACTCCACAGCCACCAACAGTGGTTTGCACAGTGGAGAGATATTTGTCTTTATGCCAGGAGGTGGAATTTAATGCTCCTTGAGGAGGAGGAGGATGATCTCCTTAGATTTGAATGAGGCGAGGCAGATAAAGACCAGCTACTCTTTGCTGTAGTTATTAAAATACAAGGCTGAAGTAGCTGTTGCCGACTGTTCAGAATTAAAACAGCACAAATGAGGTTAGTTCCTTGAAAGCTGTCAAAAATGGGCTGGTTTCCTGCAGTTTTATTTATTTTGTAATGGCACAGTACAGATTCGTATCGTCAACCGGTCTGATTTGCCATCAAGTCAGTAATTGTATGTATCCAACCAAAATGCAGTGAGTTAAATATTTAATGAACTGGTTCCTCTAATATCTGCGCTAGGTTTTAATTTAAAAGCATTAGCATCTTTGGGCACTGCAGAGGAGCAGCTTTATTTGAAATCATATTCGTGGAGCAGAGGGTAATGACTGGCAGAAAATCCTTTTAATGCAGCACTGAGGAGCTCCTGTTTAAGAAAGCACTGAGCAGACATCTCGGGGTAAAAGCATTTACAGATCTCAGGTGCATTCTACCCCGGCTGTTTGCGTCCTATCGATGGCTGCTCCAGTATTTCCAAAGATAACAGCAGGCAGCGGGATTTTTTCCCTAGCCAGTGTATAGCACATTTCCAGAACAGGTTTCTCTTCCACACACACAGATCTCTTTTAGGCAGCCTAATTTACAGAATACCCCCTGGGAGGTAACATTTCTCACATTTCATCTGGAGCTGTCTTTGTTTTAAGGAAAACCCTTTCGCTGTCATTTCTGTGAAAACACACAGAATCAATCACAAGGAATGTGAGGCTGCAGGAAACCAGCCACCTCCCCTGTAAGGACGAAATCCATTTTGTTTACCGAATCTTGGCTTGTGTTAGCTTTGCTGTAAGATGGAGTGGTCATCAATTTTCCATTAGTGCACAGATGGTGAAAGTGCTTGTCTGATCGTGCAAGGCAAGCTCCTGCGCGTTCAGCGGGATAAATCCCGCTCAGCCTAGAGAAAAATCATTCTGATTCCAAGAAGCTTTTACAGGTTCTCAGCTTACAGGCATATTTTCTTTCAGTAATCAAGATAAACCTCAGAGAATGTTATAAAATGATACACACCTACCTCTCGTGTGAAAGGATGCTGAGAGAGCGCCGTTCTGGTCCCTTTTTTTAGTGCAGCCTATGGCACAGCTAAGATGGAGCTTTCCTTCCATTGGCCAGAGCACGATGCTGCTGACAACTTCCTTTGTGCTCATTTGCATCGAGCCCTCAACCCCAGGAGTAAATCATTCATAAACATGACTCTTTCTGTCTGGAATAAGAAGCAAACCCCTCCCTGTTGTTGTTTTTTAGGATGGGATGAGCTCGTTAGCAGGGGATCGCCTTGGCCACCACCCAGCTCTGCTTTGTGCTGGAATCAGCCATCAAACCATGACGTTTGAAGTGTTAATATCTGCGGATTTCCAGCCTCACCGTGTGGTTAGATTCTCTTGTCATGAACTCTAGCAGGCTACAGCCAGGCAGATTAAACGAGATAATCTTCCTGATTCAATTGGCAGATCAAAAACAGCTAAGTTGTCTTGACTGTTTGTTGTACCTCTGAATTTATTTTGGTCACTTCAGATCTTTCATTACATTTATGGTTTTTTCTATTTATTTCTAAAATGCCCTACATAGACATTAATTTTTAATCTTAAAAGGGAACCCTGTAGGGGAAAATCCCTGTGGGCTGCATCTTCAGAGGGAGCCAGCTTTTGTTTTTCTTCCTTTTGCCATCTTAATTTAGTAACCAGAATAAAATATTCTTCTGTAGCTGGAGTTACACTGATCCTTCTGTGTTAATTTTAGAATTGTTGTGCTGTGTAGATCCTCTAAGACAATGTCATGTAACAGCTTCAAGATTCTGTTCTTTTCTCTCCCTTCACGGGTTTTTCCACAGAAATAATAGGAGCTCCTATCTCTGAGATAGCTCTTGTCCTGTCAGATGTGCTTAGAAATCACCAGAGGATTCAACAATCCCCGTGGTGACAAAGAGAGGATGTTATTCTTCTGGAGTAGCTGAAATCCAAAGAAACTGTTGCCATTGGGTTTGAGCAATGTTGTGCTGGTAATGAGCCTGTGGCTTGTGACAGCGGTTTGTGGATATTTGTGTTTAATGTGCTGTGCTAAGAGCTGGCGTTAATGAAATGGTCATTAACGACCTTGCAAGAATTTTTGAATTTTTGAAACAAAAAGATAGCAAACCTCATTATAAAGACAACCAGAATTGACAACAGAGGGGATTCTGAGTTGTTGTTCCAGTGGTGCAACACACCAGGTTGAATTGGTTTGCGTTTGTATGGGTCTGTTTAATAAATTCTCCACTAGAGCTACTTTAAACAATAATTTCTTAAAAAATCACAGCTTTCCTTTACCTGCTGTGTAACCACTGAGTGCCTTTTGGGAAGAAGGGAAGCTTTCTGTCCCCATGTCAGCAGCAGGAAGGTATTGGTGGAGCAAATGCAGTGCATTATTTCAGCGTGGATTAATGTAGTGAAAACGATTATGGGATGTTAAGCCACCGAATTAAACACGTTCTCTTGTGGCAGTAACTCTGCAGTCACTTGCTGCTTTCTTAACTTTTTTTTTTGTGGAGTTCTGCTCAGAAATGTCCCAGAGCTGTGTCCTCTGAGTCTCTGGGTCTGGATCAAGACATGTGCAAGGACTCACCTGAGGGTGGCTGCTTCTGCCACTGCTGTTTCTGACCATCACTGTCGTGTCAAAAGCTGCTGGAAGCAGAGTGAGAACGTGATGGAGCTCAGAGCCAACAGGAAGGTATCGAGGCATCCTCTTAATTGTTGGTTTTCTTTCCTTGTAGACCACAGCAATGGATCATTTAACTTGAAAGCCCTTTCAGGAGGCTCTGGCTACAAGTTTGGAGTCCTTGCTAAAATAGTGAACTATATGAAGGTAT